CGTCTAACAAGTGACATGTAATGTAATGTAATGTAATAGTCTGCAAAGGCTAAACTCCCTGTGTTCCCTGCAGAGGGAGTTTCTCTCCCACACACTCCCACCCCCCCTGCCTGAAGCGCCTACATTGGACTATTTTGTTGACTTCAGTAACATCACTATGTAACACCCGCACTTCTATTGGCTAGCGCTCCAACACATTGCACGTGATAGGGGAGGGACATCTCAAAGCAGAGGATACATCACAACAGAGCAGGCTGGGCTCTGGTTTCAGACACAGGGTGAAAAAAAGGCAGGCAGTATGATACAAATAATGACCTTTTTCAACATTAAAGCATGTACACATGTCACAGTAGAGACACAAAATACAAATATGAAACCTGAAAATTAGCATGATAGGGCCCCTTTAATATCAACATATTATGCCAGCTGTGGCTCAGTGGGTAGAGTGCTGGACTTCAAATCAGGGGGTAGCAAGTTCGAGTCCCACTGCAGTCAGCATGTCGTTGTGTCCCTGGGCAAGACACTTCACCCCAAAATGCTCCTGTGGGGATTGTCCATAGTACTGAATGTATGTAAGTCGCTATGGATAAAAGCGTCTAACAAATGACATGTAATGTAATGCTAGTGTGGCCTGCACTTCTCCGGCCTTAAAGACAATCTTGCACAGGATAAGCAGGTGTACATTTTAGGTGAATAGGCACAAACTGTGAGATATCTACACCAATGGCTTGAGAACCACCTTTACCAATTATTTATTTTTCCAGACGGCTTTATAAGCGACATGGAACATGTATCAGGAATACAGTATCTTGTAGAAATATAGAATATTGGAATGAACCTAACAATCTGCATAATATGTTCCCTTAAGACCTAAACTGCACTTTTTTAAATTACATTTGAATTTAGCTCATGTGTGGGCTACAACGACAACCGATAAATTGTGTTGCGTCATCAAGAAATCCCGACAGCCAATAAAAAAAGAGAAAACAACAATAACACCATGCTTTCACATATCTCTTTAACTCAGGCATTCTGACATGGAGAGCTTGCATATTTAGCCTTGAACACAGTAATGTTTTGTTTCGTAGCCCTGGAAGACATCATTAAACATCATTTGTAAGCATACATTACACTATACGCAGCAAATCGCCCATCTGGTGATTTTGGAGCTCACTGTCTGGAAAACAATAAATCTATTGTAAGGCTCCACGTAAAGAATCCCACTAAAGTAACGCCTCTGTGTAGACATACGTGGAGTATATTAAACATAGCAATGCGTGCAGACTGTATGTAGTGTTAATAATGCAGTGTTTACACCTTGGCATGGAGCAGGCAGCACTGGCCCAGGGCTGTGCAGTAATTAGGGGCGCAGTGTTGGGGGTGTGAAGCTGGCTGCGTGTCGTGCTGATACCACTGCGGGGCGGACCTGGTGTGCTACACAAGGCCACACCCCCGAGTCCCAGCAGGAAGTCACACCTTTCACAACGACAGGCGCTGCTCCAGCCTGTGAGCTCTGCGGGTACTCAGCGGTCCAAGACGGGACACCCATGATGTTAACATGGGGACAGCAGTCTTTAGCACCACAGGAGCCAGGTGTGTGGTCTGCTCATACATTAATATTAACCCTTTGTAGTGGATGGTGCAGGCACATATTAGCACGAGCATACAAATGTGTGTTATACCTTTAGGTGTCTTTTATTCTCTGTCATGGCTTCATTTTATGGATAATGCCATGGTTATGTTTCTTTTTCATTTCACTACATTCTATAATTACTTTTGCCCTTGCATATATTTGTTGTCCTCCCCAATTGTCAACATTTGTATTCGATATAAAAAATATATGAATAACTTTTCATTCAGAAAAAAAAGGGCATAAAGGTGAGACCTGAGGTGTTTAAATTATAAACATTCAATGACATCGACTTGTGGTGAATGTCATATGGAAAAAAGAAGGAAAATGTTTGACAATTTTGTAACTTGAATTGTGGCACCATTTGTGTAACTCAACTCTCAACTCAACTCCAATAGAGTGACACGAGAAGAATAAATGCAGTTGAAATCACAGCAGGAGAGCCAGAGATTGACCGTTAGTCCCCAATTCATCCTACATTTCCCATGATGCAATACAGTAATGCCTTTTGAGAGATCTTTCCTGCCTTGTATATGCCACACATTACATTATACAACAGTAAACTAACACTGATTTAAAATAGTGCGTACTGCCTCTTTAAGAATAAAAAGAATATGATCGTACCAATTCCTAAGACCATTAAAATATCAGTTTAATTATATTTTTCTTCCTCCATACTCTATACGACTGATAAGAACAGAAAAACAGCAACACTTTCTGTTTAATTGAAAGCCAGATCCCTGTCAGCTGTCATGTTTCTCATTTGTTGCATCCTTCAAAGACTTGTTTACTGGCTACGACACATGTCAGTGAATGCATGCTTGAGTATTTCTTTGAATTCATTAGTGCATATATATAAAGATACACACATATACCTAGTACAGATAGTAGGGAGAGATTCAGTAGCAGCACAGGCATCTTAACAGCCTCTTGCATCTCCATTTGACATTAATTGATAATCAAACAAGCCTTCACATTAGACATTTATGAGATCAGCTGAATTATCTATTTAATGTAACCCAATTATATGCAACCCTTGTGCACCAATCAACAGTAATTCCCGACTCATAAATGACAGCTCGAGCGACATATTTAATCAATAATAAACATTGATGAAAACTTGCGACCCGCTTAGAAGGAGGGTAATTAACGGGAAGAAAAGTGCTGTGCTGAATTTATTTTTTCTTTAGGAAAATGTGCTCTGTGATCCTCGTGGTTTTATGACTCGCACAAGAATCTCTTCTCTCGCATCGCAGCACCAGTGAGTGTAGAGCAAACATTCCATTTCACTTCGACAATTAGTGATAGACGTTTATCATTAATCCTTAAGACGGGCTTCCACTGCTGCTAAGTACAACATTTATTTTTATTTTAAGTTGTTGCCATGAAGCTACATTTCATTAAAGAGGCCTTATTCTGCTTTTTGGGATTTCCCCTTTACTGTAGTGTGTTGGTTTGTGTGCATGTAAATGGTCTGCAAAGGCTAGTTAGTGCCTGGAATTTTGCGTTCACACCAAAAAGAGTACTTAGTTCCGAGAACTTTTACCCCCATGTTTAGTGCCTGCTAGAGAGGTGGTACTATCCTGGGGAGAAAAAAGTACCAATTTCTGATTGGCTAGGCGGATTGCAAACCACGCCCCGTAAAACTCTGAAAAGTTTTGTGAAGCCGCCATTGTATTTGCTGACATTAGCATTATTAGCATTAGCCCCGCGCACCAACGGAGAGAGAATAACTTATGGCAACACAAAAAAAAACATGGGAGCGGTGGAGTGATGAGGAGGTGTCGGCGTTCTGGCGATTTACTCGGCTTAAAGGTCCCATGTCATGCTTTTCCGGTTATTACCCGTCTCCTTGTGTGTTATGAAGGTTTTTATGCATGTAAACGGTCTGCAGAGTCAAACACCCTCAAAGTACACCCTGTACCGAGTAAAACTCTAACACAGTCTATGCTGCCCCAAAACGCCTCGTTGGAGATTTCTCATTTTCCATTGTTTACTTCCTGGGTACTGTGACGTGTGAATACCCAGAGGCCACACCCTCTGCCAGCCTTTCACGAAACAAAGCTTCCCAAACCTCTCAGCGATTCATGCCGGATATGTACAGCGTAGGGCACTGAAGAACGATGCTGTTCCTACTTTGTTTGGACCAGCGGGAGATTCGGGTACACAACCTGTAAGTATTCATTGTTGTTTGTGTATTTATGATGTTTAAAACAAACAAGGTATCTACCACGACTGTTTAAATGGGTAAACGTTTTTCGGGCTACTACGTTGGGATGGCGGAGAAATGCTCTCCGCAGACCCATTCTCACAGCGTTATAAACCTTTCTCTTACTCAATATCAAGCCACACTTATTGTTTTTACTTCGGCTGTGAGTGTTTGTGTGTGCTCAGGATGAGTTTCGCTTGTTCTCCTGTATCGCTGACCCGGAAGCCTATCCGCTCCTCGCAGCAACGAGCCTCTCAACGTCCCGACCAATCAGAGCACACTGGGCTCACAGGGAGGGGGGGGGGGGGGGGGGGGGGGGGGGGGCAGGAGCTCCAACAAGCCGTTTAGGACAGAGAGTGGATACACATACTATACAGAGATGCTGTATGAGAAACCAATGTGAGTTTGGAAAATTGCACAGTATACATATATTTTAGTAGACCTCAACAATGTAATTATGATCAGTAGAAATGGCCATGACATGGGACCTTTAAGGGAAACTCAAGAGAGCATGCTCTATATTGGCCCAGATACGGGTACTTTTTGAATCTACAGTCGCTCCATTTTGGGCTTCATTCGCCACTGAGCAACTCTAATAGTGTTGAACAGGGCCCTACATCCAATGCTGTATCAAGTTCTCTTTTTACATCCAGGGTGAGAAGAGGTGCTGCAGCACATGCAGCACGAATAAAGGCCTTTTCAAACATTAAACATGTAAACATGTCACAGTAGAGGCACAGCATACAAATATGAAACCAGAAAATGAGCATTGTTTGTCCTCTTTAATAATTTAGCCGGCCTTTTCTCAGTGTACCAGATTAAACTGGGAAGAAACTAATCCAAACACCTAACTTCACCTTTGTTTTTATGGCCGGAGATCACACATATTTTGTTTCTCCTCACATGGGACTTTCCTACCTGAAGCCGGAAAGAGATATGAAATAAGACGCTAAGATGTGGCTGGGTTCTGTAGTCTCACATCCACAGCCGAGGACCGTCACATCCTGTATAACTTCAACCAACACATGGCAACAAAGCGGGCATCAAAAGCAGCCTATTAGAGACACTGGGGAATTCTGCACCTGAAGCCTGTTTGGGGTTCAACAGCACTGCATGAAAGTCTTCTGACAAAATGGAGGTAAGTGTGCCTGCTGCTCTTACCAGTCTTGTAAAGAGGGGCACTCCCAAATGCCAGAGGTGATCGTTCAGCAGTCCGCTGTACACCACGTTCCCGAAGACAGCAATGTTTCCTGACTTACACAACGTGTTTCCTGCGGGGACACAGAGAAAACACAAGCATTGAAACGGACAGGAAGCGGCCGGAGGGGCAATTGTATGCACTCTGAGACAAAAAAAAAGGCAAATTCAATCAAAGGAAATCATTGCACCGGAAGAGAAATAATAGAGAAGGCATCATTGATTGTTATAAACATTGATTTCCGAGGTTTATTGACCTTTCATGTAATGTCAGATACATGTGTAGCTCATATACAATCAATACAGTTACACAACCGAGCACTGCTGATCCAAAACACACTGTAGTTTCCAATATCTAAATGACCAAAAGAGGTGTAATATGAAGAACAAATCTCTAGAACCTGTCTGAAAGAAAAACATGTCAGTGTCGACTTGTAAGCGCTTCATCATAACATCAAAGGCATCAAATAGGTGAGGGAAAAAAGGGTTAGAGAAAAAAACTCTTATTTGACACATTTGATCACAATCATGATGTTGGTCTCCAACACTTCAGAGTTTTCCATCAATAAGTCACAATTAGTCGAAGACATTGCCAGCTTTACGAAGGCCCATTTTGGGGTTTTGTCTTGGGCCGCTGTAACGAAATAAGCAACTGTTGCTGCAATGATGAAGGGATATTACAATCATCAACACAGATAGGACCTTGAGAATACCTGATTGGTATTTGGAAAGCTCCTCATTAAATGCTTTATCGCCCCCAAGATTGAGCCTCATTACGTTTTTTTAAATTGCAGAGCACTGTTGAACCGCCATTTTTGTTGTATCGACAAGGCTATCGTTCAAGTTTTGTATTTGTTTCCATTTTCCTTATATCGAGACATGGATGTGTATTGCATTTGGGTCCCCTGTTACAGTGACCATGTTAGACCTGTTCCTACAACATGTCCCTGGTGTGACAGAAGTACACAGTAGTCATCATTGATATCCTGCAAGCTTTTTTACTACAGACATCTGTTTATATCCAAAAAACAATGATGGAACATGATAAGGACACGTAGAATACTTTGAAGTGCAAGTCATGGTTTGCTTTCCTGTCAACAAAAACCTTATAAATAGCGTTTCCAACGAGGAACCACTTTTACATTTCTGTTGAAATGTTCAAAGTTGTTCAAAATTCAGGGTGTGGACTGTACAATAACCTTCATGTTAGTGGAAAAGGGCTACCATTAGTGTTGATTGCACAAATGCTCCCTTTTCTGACGAACATATCGGCTGTAATCTAATCCAAAAAAACAAGTAAGCTGTTTCTCCCTGTTTTTTCTATACATGCAGCTCTCAAACAGATTCAGTTTGTCGAGCTGCTGGCGTTTATACCGCAACACTCCTGGGCTTGTTTGTTAAAGGCTTCTTAAACATCAATTAAAAATACAGACATGCATGTATAACTATGTATTTGCTTATCTTAAACCCTTCTTGTAACCACATTGAATACTGTTGTCATATTTCAAGAGTGGATTTCTTGTCATTTTCATTTTGACTGGATCAGAACTCAAGTTACAGTTTCACTTTGGCTCTCAGAGGCTTTCCAAGTCAAATCAAAGGTTAAAAAAACATATATGCTGCACACACACACACAATAACACTGGCATTCTGTCAAGCATACTGCTGTAAAATGCAAAGCTTTCTGTGTACAGTAAGTCGTGTCCACAGCACACAGTTCACCCTCACATCGACACTCTTAATTAGCTCACATGCAACACACATGCGTGCCCGTCAAACACACACACACACACACACACACACACACGTCCCCAAGAGTGTGATGTAGTACACGCTGACGTCCCCATGTATGTGATGAATGCAGCTTATGGAGGAGGCAGCACAGAAACACAGGTCCCCATTGTAATTTCTGCACAAAGGAACGCTGCAAAGGCACACCAGAGGTGGAGTGAAGCAGTGCTGACACGCAGCACATGCATTATTTAAAAACAAAAGTAAAAAATGCCCATTAAAGTGTCAGTGGTGCTTTCGGCAGTGCTGGCTTGGGCGCGGTGTGCGTATTACTGTTATTAATGGGCCAGGCGTGGGGGGCATTGCTTCGGTGTGATTGCTCTGCTGCTATCCGCGGTTCAAGCCTCCCACTTTTTTTCTTCTTCTGTGTGTGTGTGTGGAAGAAGAACAGATGAAGAGCGCGATACCGACAGAGACGGAGAGACACGGCGAGACCCCGAGTGCACAGTCAATGAGCTCCTACAACTAATATCATTTCACATTATTGAATGCATATTAAGGCAAGAGAGACCTTGTCAGACGAATAGAAGCAGCAGTGCTTATATCACATTCTGATACGCCGTCACAGCCATGTCTAAAGAATGCCGGGAATGTAGTCAGCACATTGGAAAAATAAGTGCACACCGTTTTTATTTGCAGTTTAAGATCAAGGGGCTATACATTACCGCTACTGACACAGCAGAATGAGGTCATTGTGCATGTTGTAATTACAGCTGCTGCAGCGCAGAGAAAAAAAAGAGGGTGTAAACTTTTGATCAAACAGTATTGGAAAATGTTGAATACATCAGTGGGAATAAAGAAACGCAACAAAATGATCATTTGGTGTTTGTTATGATCAATTCCAGAGCAGTTGAAATCAATGCAGCGGATGCTATCACTGTTTGTACACACATCCCTGACCTATTGCTCCACCAACCGTTTGTTATGGTATTATTGATGGTGTTTACATGCAGCGAACAGAGCATATCATCAAACTCTCCATATATGCATGCAGAGAATGTCACATAGAAGAGACAGCTTCATCCCCTTGTAAAGTCTGCAGAGCTGTAAAACCGGGTGCTTTTGTATGTATATTTCTTTCTGTATTACAAATGGATTCGGCTCCATGTTTGCATCAGCGCTAGTTTTTCCATAACGTCTAACCTAAAGTGATGACATGTTGCTTATTGGTTCTGGATGAGCTGTTGATATTCTTGTTTTTTTTGGTTGTTAATCCTGCGTTTTTCGGGCCCCCTCTCAGCAGTTGGAGCCGTTCTCTCATCTGCAGACTCGACAGCATTGAGCCCAACCTCTGATTAATTATTAATTGTGTGATTAAAGTGTGTGTGTGTAATGCTGGTGTGTGTGGCTTCTAAGGAGGGGAATGCAACCTGCAGTCTACTTTGCATTATCTTCAACTTTTTTGGGGGGGGGGGATTTCAGAATAAGGCATTAACCTGCAGGTATCACATGATTTAATACCCAAATAATCCGCCATGTAGAAAAGGCTGCATGAGTAGAGGAAGGGAAGGAGATGGTGTTTTATTAAATCAGTGAAGCTTGTTTGATTCTGTCTCTTTTTCCTATTTTTGGGCTGCAAGTCAGATTTTTTTAGTGCAGACATTCATGGAGCTTATTTCAAGGTAGATGCTGTTATTTATATATTTTGTACGATTGAATTTGCTCATACGTTATTCTGAATGCCAATATTCAACCTTAAACTTTAGAATCTTTTAAAGTTTTCAAAAAGGAATGAATACATACTATACTGCAACACACAAGGTGTTTATGTCTATATTTGAGTATTAGATCAATATAATTGAAACAATACAATCTGTCAGTGTAGTAGTATGTTTTGTTAAAAATAGGAATAGTATTTTCAATATATGGTTGTTTGCATTTTGAAACAATAAAAAATGACGCAGACTTCTGCAGGAGAATACAGAATGTAACTTGATTTTAGGAAAAGGGGACCTATTATATGGTCTGGGTTTTGCCTTTCCTGTAGCGTGTTATATATGTGTTTTTCTTTGCATGCATGTAAATGGTGTGCAAAGTCTAAAATCCCAAAGTTCACACCAGAGGGCATTTCTCTGCCACACACTCTCTGCCTGAAACGCCTCTATTGGACTCCTTTGTTTTACTAACACTATTTACTTCTATTGGCTAGCGCTCCAACACATTGTAAGCGATAGGCTAAGGGGCGGGACATCTCCAAGTGGTTGACCAATCACTACAGAGCCAGCCAGCTAACCAATCAGAGCAGACTGGGCCCTGGTTTCAGACAGAGGGTGAAAAGAGGTGCTGCAGCACAGGCAGTATGAGAAGAATAAAGAGCTTTTGAAACATTGAAGCATGTAAACACAGAGAGGCACACATACAAATGTGAACCTGAACATTTGCAAAATAAGGCATCTTTAAACAACTTAATGTTCAGAGAGGCAGATTTGCTTTGAAGAAAATGTTAACGTAAGGACTAAATTGCAACATTTTATTGGCCAGGATTTTTTAATTATTGCAGATTTATTCAAAATGAACTGGAAGTCAAAGTTTCATCACCACGTACATGTGAAAAACAAATATGACCATTAAAGTTACATAATATTGAAGCAGATAAATGAGGCAATTCATTGATTGACAGAAGATATTTATGTTAATACTTGATTCATCATTAAAGCATTTTTTAAAGCAACATTTTAGAAGTAGTGGCAGTCAGAAATGGTGTAATTGGGTCTAGCTTCAAATCTGAGAAAAAAGGAAAAAACATTTGAACTTAGTGTAGACACTATAGGGGACTGTGGTTATTCATATACATATGTGTGTGTGTGTGTGTGTGTGTGTGTGTGTGTGTGTGTGTGTGTGTGTGTGTGTGTGTGTGTGTGTGCGTGTGCGTGTGCGTGCTCTCCGGCCCCCTCCCCTGGCTCTGCCTCTGGAGGTGGGTCGCTTTAAGCATTCAAACTCCAGAATGTGCAGCTCATTTCTAGCAACGAGGCACATTGCTGCAATGCAATAAGGGAAAACAACACTTTTAATAATTCAGGCCCTGATACTGAGAGGGGGGGGGGTGCGTGAGGTGGAGTGGGGGGGGGGGGGATGGGTGGAGGGAAGACGTCTTAAAGTACCGCAGAATGGCTCATTTAGCTCCTGCTACGCATTATTAAAGTTGTATCGAACCCCCCTCCTGGGTCTTTCCCAAAGTTTGTCTTTTTTTGTTCTCATTTTCCTTTCCTCTTTCCCCCAAAGCCTGCGAGGTAACCAATAACAGCTAGCAACATTTATAAACGACACAGTATCCTGCACCTTA